AGCACCGTTTTGGGTACTATGGGAGTAAAAAGGTTCTAGAACTTGGAGTATTATCTTAGGGTAATTATACATGCAACTAATCAGACATAGTTTTTGAGAAAGACGCCAGATAATGCCGAATATATTAATTTTTATTCTTCATTCTTTAGATTTATTCACCCACTGTGCCATCGTAGTACTCAGTTTTATATTCCAAGTCTTTTTCCAGCCATAGGCCTACCTACACAGTCCTCAATACGAGTCTACGAGTATCTAGACCTCGCCTCTCTCCGATGAAGAAACTAATATCTGCTGCAATTGCCAATGCCAATTTTCCTTTTTAATATGCCACGAATTGACATGGGCCGTTGCCATTAAGCATTTGATATGACCAGGCCCAGAACCAGGCCCCGAACCCGAACCATTCCTTGTTTGGAGTTGGGAGCTGGACATGTGATGACATTGCATTGGGGATCGCCATATGCAAAGGCTAAAGCAGATGCAGCTGCTGCTGCAGTGGCATCACGGTGCCTAATTTAATCAAATTAGCTGAGAAATGCAATGGAATGGAATTGCCTGGAGCAGAAACTCATTACGTTAATCAGTTGATTGTGCGAATCTAAAACAAATTACGATTATGACAGTGTTGCAATATGGTCCGGGCATATGGCAATTTCAGTAATTAATTCGCCCCACCACACACCACCCAGCTCCCAACTCCCGGCCAAATGCAATTTGTGCAATTTAATTTCATTAGAATAATTCTAATTAGAGCAATGAGTTGTACAGACTATCACAGCCGAACAATCATGGCCCAACGTTTGACTAAGCACCGAGCTTTGGATGCAGCACTATACGGGTGTGTGTGTGTTTGTGTGATAACGGAAATTTAATTGAAATTGTGGCAGCTTTTGTGAAATTATTGGAATTGCCAGAGCTGGGAGTCAGGCAGCCAGCAAACCATCCAACCATCGCGAGAACCAATTACATTTAGAAGCCGACTTGACCTTCCCCCTACCATTCCACCAATCCCACACCCCAACACCACAAAACCCCAAAAGCCCTATACCAGATACCCAGTCAGAGAGACTCCTAACAGAATTGATGAGCCGACTACATCCAATGATATAGCCTTTATAAATACGGCTAATGGAAGTTGCCCTCACAGATTATAATGTTTGTGGCCATCTAAATTGAATTGCAATCGAAGCTCTCCTCGCTCTTGTATTAAAATTCATTTAAATCGACTCCCTGGAAGCCATAACCGGTGCCTATCGCAGCTAATCATCTAAAGAAGTGTGTGTTCTGTGTGGGAGTGTGGGCGTTTGTATCTGTGTGTCGCCATTGTTGGGTGCACATTCCCAATCAGATAATCACGCATTCGAAACGCACGAACCAAAACCGAAACAGGATCGAAATTACAAAAGCCCCAAAGAGGCGGAGGATGAGGTCAGGACAATGCTGAAATGGACATGGTCGAAGGAGCTTTGTTCCCTACAATCCACCGCTCCCACTCTTCACCATTTAGTTGTTGCCACTAATTAGTTAATGCATGTCCCAATATATTCGATATCTTGGCCACAACTGGAACCTCGAAGGACCCACCACTCGGGTAAATTCGGTTTATATTAAATGAATAAGCTTAACGTTTGATGATAAATTTTCTTTTTTCTAAGGAGTTTTATTATAGGGGTTTTTTCATACCTTTGCAGAGGGTATTATAAGAGGACAAAAAATATAAAAAATATTTTGTCTCAGGATTTTGATGCAAAATGGGTGAGAATCGATCCATAAATCGTTTAAGGTACTCCGCTTGAGAATCGGGTGAGAATTGGAGAAGATATAGCCATCCCTGTGGGCCATATAGGGGAAAACCCCATTTTCAAGGGATCTCATCACAAAAAATGGACAAAAAATCGAAAAAATATTTTGTCTCGGGATTTTAATGCAGAATGGTGGAGAATCTATCCAGAAATCGTTTAAGGTACTCCGCTTGAGAATCGGATGAGAATTGAGGAAGATATAGCCATCCCTGTGGGCCATATAGGGGAAAACCCCATTTTCAAGGGATCTCATCACAAAAAATGGACAAAAAATCGAAAAAATATTTTGTCTCGGGATTTTAATGCAGAATGGTGGAGAATCTATCCAGAAATCGTTTAAGGTACTCCGCTTGAGAATCGGATGAGAATTGAGGAAGATATAGCCATCCCTGTGGGCCATATAGGTGAAAACCCCATTTTCAAGAATCCCATCACGAAAAATGGACAAAAAATCTAAAAAATATTTTGTCTCAGGATTTTGATGCAGAATGGTGGAGAATCGATTCAGAAATCGTTTAAGGTACTCCGCTTGAGAATCGGATGAGAATTAAGGAAGATATACCCATCACTGCGATAAGTATATAATTTTTACCGAAATTGTATATCACCTCGGGTCCGCCCGAAGTAAGCTTTCCTTTCTTGTTTGTCTTCAAAATACACATTTAAAATTGGTATTTAGATGTAGTTTTAATATTTAGTTATCCTAAATATACATATATTTGGGTTGTAGGGTTTACTGATTTTTTGTTTAATTTTGAAACTAAAATATTGGATTATGTAGAACCTTGATGTTTAACCATCATTCATAAGACTAATAGAGAAACTTAATAACCTTACAATCATTCAACATAAATAAGCATTTGTATTCTGAATATATTCGGACCACCTTTAACATATTCCTAATATATCACCTAGTATTTCATTTATGACTAGAGCTAATTAGTTAATGTAGATTTCCAAAAGTTCTCCAAACAGACCAACCCGAGGCAGAGCTCATGCCCCAAAACAAAACCCATTGATTTATGCTCATATTTAGAGCTGTTTATTTATGTCGTTTGTTGCATGTCCTCCAATCTCCAATTCCAACTGGTTTCAGGTGGCGTGCCCCATTATCGTGCCCCGGGTGTGAGTGAGTGTCTCGGTGTGTGAATTGGTTTCCCATTGGCTGAACATACGTATACCCACCATATGCTTATCTGCGATGCTGATTAACTGATTTATATGCCTGGCCATTGCTTATGCATTGATCACCGTATTTTTTCGCCTGATGGACTGCGTAGACGTAGGAATTGGAATTGGAATTAGAATGACAGTTTCGGTTACTATTACAATTGACCCGTGACATATGCCTCACTTTTTGGTTTTTGTTTTTGGGTAATTTCAAAGGCATTGCCTAGAATGACTTATTTTGTTTCAATTATATAGTAATTATATAGCAATTAGGTGTGTGCCTTTTCGAAACTAATGGCAGAGAACAGTTTCGAGGGCTGTAAGCTCATGTGATGCTGGTTCATATACTATTAGGCTACAGTGGGTTTCAAAAATGATATTAAACGATGCTTATATTAAAAGAAATGGAAGTATGATGGGCTTTTCTCAAAAGAATGAAAGTTAAATAAAGTATAATAGATATAAAATAATTAGGATCCATTAGACTTTACAATACCGCCACGCACTGTCTAACCAAAGATATATATTTCACATATGCCTGAAAATCAGACCTGGTTGAGTGCCGTCGTTTTGCGTGCCGTGCACTTAATTGCTGTCCCAATTATTGCATCGCCCAGAGAGATATACCCAGCCGATAGGTTAGTATTTATTTTATTGTTTGGGAATTCGGGAAAAATTGATAACGAAATGAGCAGAAACAAAGACCTTGGCAAGGTGCAACGGAAACGGATGCCGCGGCGAGTGACAAAAGCCTAATGGGGTCATCATTGCAGTTTACTCAACTGGATATATTGAATTAATGACCGGCTAACACGCGTTGGCTTTATATAAAAACGTAGAATATTTAATTGATGGGATTGGGCACTGAGAAGAGCTTAACTGTTCAGAATAGACTCATTGCCTGGTCATTGCGAGAAAGGAAAAACAAAAGACTTAGACAACAAACTGTGTTCTTAAAGCACAGAAAACACCAACACCCAGTTAAATATGAACATGCCATTTCACGCCTCCAAACAACTCATAATTCAAGCGTTCAATGGCCAGATACCAATGCTGCATAACAAATGACCAAGTTAGAGCCGGAGAATCGAAAATTGAGACGAACCCCGGGCACGTTTCTTGTCCGGCAGCGAAGACGCATCGAAATTTAAAGAGCAATTCATAAGCGTAAATGGCCATTATAGAGACATCATTGCTTATTGGATTTATTACCAAACCAATTTCCAATTTCGATTTCTGGCCACTCATCTGGCAGCAATTAATCATCCGAGGGGAGCCTTCAGTTACCGTTCCACAATTAGAATCATTTTCAATGTTTTTTTTTTCTGTATTTTTATGTATATTTTTTTTCGTCATAAATTATTTTTATTTATTTTTGTGATTTTTTTTTTTGTATGGATTTTCTGGTGATTGCCATTAAATTTAATACAATTTTCCATTTTTTTGCTTTTTGTTTCGGTTTCGATTTTAAATAAACATTACGCTTGCTTTGATTTATATATATTCAACTATCAATATGGCCAAATTACAATACATTTATCGTTTACACTTAGCACATAATACATCATATTTATATATATATATAGTTATATCGTATTCTGTTTATACCTCAGACATAAATTAGGTTAGGACTAAACTGGCTTTATACACACAACTTAGGGGGATATACTTTAAAGTGTAGTTGGATTTTTTTTGGGCTTTCTTTCTTGTTTTTACTAAGTTTATACAAAAATTGCTAACAAATGTATTTTACAAATTGCCTTTAACATTTAATTTAATTAAATTTATTACAATAAGTTTAGGTCTAGGTACTATATATGTTCGTTTAAATGTGTACGTGTGTATATTTTTAAGACTTAGGCATTAACATTGAACATTTAAGTGTTGTTAGTTTTTAAAAAGTTGACGGCGGCCTTCGATTTTAACTTTAAACATTTTCGCTTGCATTTAGTTTAGTGGATTATATTATTTTACAACTGCTAGTGGCGCACCTTAGTGAAAGTTTATTTTAATATTTATATATTTTACTTTTTGTTTATCACGTCTGTTTTGTTTAGAGTCTAAGAATTTAACTAGTTTACAGTAGGCGTACGCTCTAAATAAATTTTGCAATTTTCAATTGCTTTCTGCGAATTAGGACAAACATTTCAAGCAATTACTTTATTAATTATTTATTTTTACAAAAATCTTTTTTTTTTTTTTACTTTTGGACGTGCATTGTAACTGTTTTTTTTTTTTTTAATTTACTTGTATATTAATATTTGTAGTTCTCTGTGTGCTTGATTCAGTTTTGTTTTTATATATACACAATAAATATTTATGAAATTTTGCTCCTTTTTGCGGGTTCTGTTTTTATGGCAGTTCATAAAGCACAATTAAATACGTTGAATTTGCGGGGAGAAATTAAATTAATTAAGCGAAATATGAAACATAAGAAAAAACTATACAAACACTCACAGAAAAGCCATAAAGGAAAAATAAAATAAAAATAATGTGCAGCCCTTTAATTAATTTTAATGGGGCTTTTGTTATTGCTGCCGGCTCTCGGCTCTTGGCTCGCGGTTCATACAGCCATAGCAGCAGCAACAACATCAGCTACAGCGACAAAGCTTAAATAATTAAAAATTGCACGCAATGTTTACAATTAGCAATAACCAGCGCCTGTACAGCACACCCCCACATCCCATTCCAAACACCATACGACGCACACTCGCCCCCCCTTTTGGGGGTCTCAAATGTATCGCTTTTGGCATGTGGATGTCAAGGGCTTAGGGCCACTGTCAATTGCTGGCCAAGGAGTCCTCAGTTTGGCATTGTGTTTTGTTTTGTTGGGTTTTCGATTTATTGGCGGATCACTCCACTCGGAAATCGGCTCTAACTGAACAGATTGTTGTTCAAGTTGTTCCCGCTCCATCACGTGTAGTCAGTGCGCCAGGTGCCCTGAGGAATGGAAAGAAAATAAAATATAAATCATTAGTAGGGTTTTTTATTTTATTTTTACATTAATATCCCTTCTAACTCCCTCAAACATTTACATATTTCTACCATCCCAACCCGGAAAAATAAAATAAAACTCTATTTCCCTTTCTGACTAAAAAGCTTTCCCAAAAAGCTACTTTTTTTTATAAAAATACTCACCATCGAGCTGAGTCCCAAGTGGTAGGGCTGCGAGTGGGGAACCACCGCTCCGCCGAGAGAGCCGGCGGTGGAGAAGCCGCCCTGCAGGCCACTGGAGGCGCCCAGGGCGCCCATGCCGCCGGTATACCAGCTGCTGTGCATGTGCGCATGTGCCGGATGCAGTCCACTCGAGAGGTGTCCATGTTGGGCTACAATGAGATTTCAAAAACGGAGAGAGAGAGTGCTTGTTAGTTGGAGGGCAGGACTTGGAAGGTGCGCCAAATGAAGATGCTTACCCATGGAGGCCGAAAAGCCGCCGCCAAAGCCTTTCGAGGGATCCAGCGGCTTGAAGTCGCCCATGCCGAGATGTCCTCCAATTGGCAGACAGCCGCCGCCCAGGCCCTTCTTCTTCTTGGACTTGGAGCTCAGCTTGCGATTGCGGGTCTGGATGCCCTCCTTTTTCATCGTTAAAGGACGATTGACCTGCAAAAAATATAAAAAATAAAGGAAACTTTAGTTGGAGAGTCGAGGGAAAATCAATAAAGTAAAAGCGACCCGAATGGAGGGCTAAAACCGTCAGCGTCTGACCACTAAAATGGGTCAAATTTATGCAAATTCATGGACCGGAAATGCCGCTAGCTGCACACGCTGTCTGGAGAGACAGGGGTGGTGGTGTCGGCGGTGGCGGCGGTTGTATCTACTGCATTTATATATAGGAGGGGTTTCTTTTTTTTTTTTTTGTGTGCCGGCGAGTGCAACCGGGAAGTGAAAATGAAGTATTACAAGCATTTCTACACGATCAGATAAGCGACATTTGCGAATGCGATTAGTTGGCGCTGATAGCGCTCCCAACGGCACCCAGGCCATTTTTTCTTCTCATTTTTTTCAGCTTTTTGCTAAAGCGTTTGCTGTTAATGTGGCTTCACTTGAAAAAAATATACATAAGATAGGGAGTGTCTAATTTTGAAAAATTTCAACACCTTAGAGGAAGATATATGTAGATTTCTGCTATAAATAGAGTTTGTAGAGATAGTTTTAAAAAATAAATTCTAAAAGAATCACCATTTAGTACTTTTAGTACTTTTAGAAAGAAAAAATTTTAAATTTTAAGAAAATATATTTTTCAAAAACCTAAAACCTCTTTAAACACATTTTTTGAGTGTGTGTTGCTGCTGTACTGTCTCATGTTGCTGCTTCTTCTCTTAATAGAGTTTGTGAGAATGTTTTAAGATATAGATTGTTATAGAATCACCCTTAGAATAGTACTTTTAGAAAGTTAAAATATTAAATGTAAAGAAAATATATTTTATAAAAATCTAAAACCTCTTTAAACACATTTTTCGAGTGTATGTTGCTGCTGTACTGCCTCATGTTGCTGCTTCTCCCTTTGGAAGTGGCCATTGTTGCTGCTGGGCTCTCTTCATATGCAATTCCTTATCACTTGCGAACATCTAAGCGGCAGCATGCGCTTCATTGCGCTACAATTACAATATTGAGTTACCCATTCCCAGCAGCCGAGGCAGCCTCGGCAACAAAAGGGAGTCTAGGGAATAAATGTTACAGAGGACTTAGGGCTACCTGGGCGTGAATTACGACATTGTTGGTACCTTTTTTTTTTTTGGGTTTATACAATGTACATACAAGTATATATATATAATGGCAAGTATATAGCAAAAGCAAACAGAGAAATTGTTAAATTGCCGGGCAATTGTTTGCCGCTTTTGAAGAGCCGGGATTTTGTCAAGCCAGAGGGTTGATTTTGTCAACGAAACAAACGTATCACTTACAAAAAAAAAACATAACAAAAACTATATCGAGATCACTTTGCCAGATCGGTAGATCCGGATAGAGCCAGAGAGATGGGAGGATCAGTCGGGGCAGCCCACGTAATTGATAGTCTTTCTAGCGTTTAGCGCAAATTGCGGCAATTAGCAACTCGGCTCAGCTTGACGGGGCAGCTGCTGTTGCTGTTGCAGTCACTACCATCTTAAGCTTTAATTGATATGCAGCAACAAAGCATAAAGTTGTTAATGCCCAGGCCTAGCTCATTAAGAAATTCAGAGGAAAAGTCGAAGGGGGAGAAACAGCAGCAGCATCAGCAGATTAACTTTTTTATGCATAAAATCTAAATCGAGCGTAGAGAGAACACGCGCCGCTGCAGTTGACTGGCAACTTGACAGCCCTCAAGGAAAATGCAAAGAAAATAAAGAGGAAAATCTTATAAACAGCCCACCCACAGATCACAACCAAGAGGGCTATGCATCCAGAGATCGACTGGCGACGGGAGGACGGCGCCAGGCTAACCGTTAGGTAACCTATAACCTTTATGATTTTTATGTTTCATATATTGTCACACCCCAGGACATCATTGTCCTTACAGATAGGACACAGCAGGTTGTCTCAGGAGATTACAAAGAACAGGTGACAGATAAAAGATCTCAGATTCAGCAAGTGTATGGAGCAAACCTCTTAGAAACTAGATCATGTCATGCTTTTAGATCCGGAACCTTTCTCTGATCCCCATTAGCCATGCTCCACTGTGTGGCAAGTTGCAACATTTCCATAAAAAGTGCCAATCACTACGGCTGGAGGCCCACACAGGCCGAGCCAGGCGGCAGCTCCAAATGACAAACGAATTGAATTGAAATGAACTGCAAGAGCCAAAGTAACCAAAGCACAGATAGATAGATACATAGATAGAGACAGAGCTCCAAGAAGCAAGAGAGATGGCTATAGAGAAGGCAGACAGGGACGGCAATGGCAAAAATGTGCGCTGATTGGCATCTTATCGAGATGGGCCACTGTCCAATTGAAGGAAAATTTTTGCAAAAATAAATTTCGCCTGAAAAGCGCCTCGCCACCCAAAGTGCATTCGCTGCTCATGTGTGTGTGTGTGTGTGTATCTGAGAGATACGTCGGAAAAGTTTGCTGGTTTTTCTTTGTGAAAATCAGATTAGAGAAAAATAGAGCAAGAGCTGGTTGGTTGACTGGTTGGCTGGCTGCCTGGCTCTTTGATATTTGCCTTTTATGGACGGGCTCAATTAAAAATATTTCGCCTTTGCCGATAGTCATCGAAATGCAGCCGCTTAAGTGGCGGCCGCAACTTAATTAGTTTGCCACACAACACAGGGCACGGGGGCAGGCGCAGGCTGCCAACCAGACAGGTGGCCCATCACTTAAGGGCCACTGACATGTAAATGTGCCAAAAGTTCAACCGCAAAACTCATTAAAACTTGACTGCAGGCCACAAAAAAACACAAAAACGCACAAACCAGAAGCCAAAAAAAAAGGAAAGAAAAGTATCTGAAGGGGGGGGAGCAGTTAAAAAAGAAACCTTGAGCTTATCCCCTGAAAAGCGTGGCTAATGAATATTTAATAAACAAGGGGAGATTCAATTCAGTGCAGTTGCCTCGTCCTCAACGGACGATTACATAAATTACCGCCCAACATCTAACATCTCGCATCTAGCCATCCTGCCACGCGTTGCACATAACCGGGGAAATCAGGGAAAAGCTTATCGCATTTTCACAGCCAAACACCAGAGACCCTTATCTGCCTTGCCCGGGTGGATGGTGCTTTGTGGGTGGTGGCTGGCTAACTGGCATCTTTAAATAATCATCAGGCATTCATCATCAGGGGGGTAACTGAGCTAAGTAACCTGCTGCGGCAACAAATCGACAAGCTAAACGGCAGTCCACCCCCTGGGGTGGCCCGGAAGAGGCCGCACTGGGCTTTGGGTGGGCGGGGCAGACACTTCATTTTTGTCACATTTAATCCCCGGGTGCGTGCGCTTCCTGTCCAGCACTCGCCGGACCAACTTGGGATGTTAAATGTGGCGTTAAATCGTGGGGATCGTAAATCGATACAAGTGGGTGGGGGGGAGGCTTTTCCAAGCTAATAGTTCCGATGACCAATGGCTAGTTTTTTGAGATACTTACATTGTGCAGCTTGTAGTATAATCCGCAGGCATTGCAGACTGGCTCACCGCTGGCATTGCGTCGCCAAAGGGTTGTGGTTGTGGTCTTGCAGTTGGCGCAGGAAGTGCCCGCCCTCTTGGCCGCACTCTGGAGCGATTGCAGGGTCTGTGGAGGAAGGGAATAATACATTAATAAATATCGGATTTATGGCAAGTGTGTGTATTATGCTAATGCCGCTGATCGGCTAATTGAACAGTGCCAAAACTAACGCAGAAACCCAAGAATCTGGTGTGCCCCTCTCGTCCCTGACAACCTATCCTCTACATACTATACTCTCCAGCCCGAAACAAAGTTGCTTAACACACCAGGCAACAACATTTTTTAAATGGCATACCAAAAAGAAACTCCAACACAGCCATGTGGAGACCCAGATCAGCTGCCTGGCTGGCTGACTGGCTTGTGTTCGTTCGTTCGTTCGACTTGGGTTAACAGCAGCATCAATTCATTAAAATGACAATTTTTACAAAACTGCCCAAAAACAACAGCAGCAACAACACAACTGCTGGCAAGAGGCAACAACAAGCAGGGATCATGTCTGTGCCACGCTTAAATTTCCACGAATTGGCTACAAGAACCAAGAATCGAGAACCCCAGAACGGAGAACAGAGAATTGGAGATTGGGGATCGGGGATCCAGCATCGAGAGCCGAAAAGTTCCCCCTCCCCCCAACCAAACCATTTTGATCCCCTCCTTCCCTGTGGCAGAGACTTTGTCTGCGTTTTGGGCTTCGTTATGGCATGCCCCACTCCCTGGAAGACACTGAGGCTTAAGATTCTTTAAAAAAAAATATATTATATTATATAAGAGTTTAAGTAAGAGTACTAAGCCTTTTTAAGATTAACCTTTAAGCTTTAATTCTTTTTTTAAACCTGCCCCTTTTTTCTCTCAGTGCCCATCTTCCAGTTTTGGCTTGTTCATGCTGCTGGTACAACACATGGCTACGAGGCCTTAAACTGGCGTTGATCATGTTTGACTTTGATTTTTAATTGTTGCCTCTGCCTCGGCTGCTTGCCACAAGGGAATCGCCTTCGACTTCCACTACGACTTGGACGTCTTCGATCCATGCTCCGATCTCGATCTCGATCTCGATCTGGATCTGGATCGGCTCTGGACGAGAGCTCCATGTGTCTCACCTGTTACCGATGTGGCGATTAACATAAATCAGAGGTCATATGGCAAGGGAGGCTGGCTGTTTGTTGGCATTTTTTTTTGGTGGCACTGTCTTGTGTTAACGAGCTTGTAACAATTTCTGCAGACAGAGAGCCAGTTAGCCAGAAAGACAGTTGGCCAGAAAGCCAAATGCGAAAAGTGAGAAATTCAAAATTAATTTCAACGCCTACGAGCCGGAGGGAGAGGGAGATCTGAACTGGAAGTTTTGTGGTAATTATGCTGCGATTTTTGTTTGCTTTTGGCCTTCTTTTTGTTGGCCCAAGATGCTTAAGCGTATATAAATTAAGTTGTTAACATGACAATGCAACAAAACAGTCTTCTCGAACATCCAGATGCAGATCCAGATTCTTGAAAGTTTTGCATTCCGTTCCCAATCCGAATTGTTGGCTCGAACTTCACTCCTGTTGGCCAAATGCCTGTCGACCTTTGCCAGCTGACATAACATAGAGTGGGTGTGTGTGAGTGAGTGTGTTTTCCACAACAATCACGGGCGCAACAATCAAACAGCAAATCACATAAATCAATGTCAGTGAGCAACAGGGCGGGTGGGGCATACAGTAGGGGGTGGTGGCAGTATGGTGGAATAGAGGGGGTGATGGGAAAATTGACAAACTGTCAGACATTGACAGGCGTTTGGGGTTTAATTGAAATGCAAAAAGCGCAAGCGCCAAAAACAACAAAAGCACAAAGTGACAACAAACATACAAAACAAGATGGCGCTACCGATTAATAAACAAAAGCAACAAAAAACGCATACAAGTGAGGTTTTATATGGTTTTGTGATGGGATTTAATAGATTTAAATGGTTTAGTTTAAAATATTTAAGTTTTCTAACCTGAGGTGTCTTGAAAACTCTCTTAGAAAAATGTAATAACTTGAATAAAACACTTTAAAGACTTCTTAAACTGAAGAATCTTTAATGTTTTATTTAAAAAATTACTTTAAAACCATGTTAATGAAATTTCCACTTTAAAATTTTCCTTTTCCGACATCTAGTGCTTTTTTAAGTTTCTATTTTTTTCAGTTTCTAGCTGCCCTGACTGCCACACTGTCAGTCAGTGTGACCATAAATTGTGATTTATCAATGCATGACAAAACGCGCTTGCATTGCTGCCGTCTCTGTCGCTGCCCTTGTTGCCCTCTCGCTCGCTTGACACCTCTGCTTGATTTATATTTTGCTTTTTTTTATGACAAAGCTTACAAAATGGTCGACACTCGTCTTCGTTTGTTTATTTTTTCGTTTTCTTTTTTTTTAGGATTTTTGTTTTGTTTCTGTTGTGCTTCTCATATTTCTGTTTCGCCTTTTGTTGTGTTATGCAAATTTCGTTTTCATTTCACACACAACCACACACACACAGTCTCGGGCATTTAAATATTTAATTGTAAGTGAAACACACAGAGGAAGACTTTACAAAAGCCCCCAGTTTAGGGGGGGTGGCAGGTTAGGTGACTAAGTAAATATGTACTGAGTAAATACTCCTGCTTCTCCCCCTGCTACACTGCTATTTATTGCGCAGCTTTTGTGCGCTCTCTTCTCTAGTGGCAATGCCCTTTGCCATCTCCGATAAACGGGACACAGTCAAGATGCTGTGGGGCTGGGCTGGGCTAGGTGGATGGGTGGGGGTGGTATCCGCATCTCTATCTCAGTGTAACATCTCTGGGCCATCTCTTTTGCTCAACTCGCTTTTTTTATTTTTTGTTCTTCCTTCTGTATCTTTTTCCCCTTCTATCTGTATCTGTTAGTGTGTCTGTGTATCTGTGTGTGTGTGTGTCTGTGTTATCTAACAAAACATTCATTAAATTTTTCTTCTTCTTCTTGTTGGCCTCAACTTGGCTCAGAGCGCATGGCCACCCCCTAGCTTTTGGGGTTGTTTTGGCCCACAAAACCCAGGGAAGATGGCTAAAGATAGCGGGCAGAAAATTTCTATATCTGATGCTGTATATCAGGGGGCTGGCTGGGGACACAAAATGGGGTTTGTTGAGCTTGTGTCTGGCAACTGTAAATAACAGTTACATTCAGAGGACGGCAACTGTGAAATTTAATTTAAAAATTCAAATTTTATTGGCCAGGCTCTTTCAGGGTTTCTTTTCAGAGTTGGCTTTCAAGAGTAACATCCTGATTCGGTTTGAGGTCTCTTTGGCCAGGTCTACTGGTCTCTCTTTTTGCCTTTCTGGCTTTCCCTGCAACTAATTTGACTAATTAAAACATCAGCTTAACTCATTTCCATGCTCAAGCTGCGACCTGGCACGAAACTGTTGCTAAAAATCACACCTGCCCCTGCTGAGCGCACTACGACCCAAAGCTACCCAGAGTTGGTTATAAAAAATCAATAAAATGTTATATGGCCAGCAAACAGAACAAGCCATTAATGTCGCTCATTAATGCGGCTCAATGAATTTTACGAGCCATGAGTCGAGGGGTTCACTCAAATATGTCGCTTCAAAAGGGCTATAATGCCAATTGGCTTAAAAGTGGCCTCAACCGGGAGAAATTGGTGGAAGGTTTCTTAACAATATTTTTTACATTTTTAATCAAAGTTGTTGCGTGCCTGGGGAGTTGGATTTAAAAATAAAAACTTGCAATAGACTGACAACTCTGTAGAACGCCCCCTTTTTGTATGGTAACTCTAGCTCCCCATTGGAAGGCATGAAAATCGTCATTAATATTTGTCACTGGCCATTGAATGGGGCCGGCAAGGCCTAAATAAATTATGGAACTGGCCAAGAGGCCGAATGGCAAGGTGGAGCCTTTGGTCCGAGAGCTCGGCTCGGAATGAATGTGGTCTAAACACGCTCACCTCACCCCCTCCTGACTGCGTGTTCGTTGTCTGTAAATAGTACGAGAAAATATATAAAAAAAAGGGTTAGAAAATGCACAAGCCACCCCCTTTTAGGGGTGTCGGGGGTGGTCGGCTCGAACCTGTGCAAAATTATGCATTTGCATATTAAACAGTCACCATAAATTTTTTCGGCCCATGAACGCGAAAAGCGAAAGCAGCTCAACGCCTGGGCTTGAATTCCCACTTAACAAGCTAAACAAAAAAAAAATGTTATTTTATACAAAAAAATAAAGAGAGAAAAAAAAGAGATATAAGGAAAGGCTGGCTTGGCCTTAATCATCGACGGGCAACCCTTTGGTTGAAGCCCTGGCTCAGAGCCTCTTTCATTATTATTATTGGCACGCCCCGTTTTTGCTGCGTTGCGTTGCGCTTCGTATCGTTAATTTTTAATTGATCTGCGAAAGGCAGCCTGTTGCATTCTCATTCCCGGTCAGGTTCATCAGGCTCCCCTTGGGCATCAGCATCAGCATCAGCTCCCTTCAAGTGCATTTTAATAACATTAGGCCCCCACTTAACAAGATCCTAGCGCCCCAATAAAAATAACCGAAAAAACAAGCTTAATGCTCTCGATTGCGTATACGCCCCATCGGCCGTTTGCCACAAACGAGGAGGCAACGAGAGGCATTGAACCTTCCACAGATCCTTTCTTCTTTATTTTTTTTCTCTTATGCCTTAGTTTTGATTTGGCTGTCGTTTCGTTTATCGATTTAATTTTGAACGTCACAGCCTACGATCAGAAATCGGTTCGATTTTCCCACGCCGCTGAAGGATGGGGCAGCCACAGAAATAAAAAGAAAGAAAAGATGCCACAGCTGGCTTCAACAAAAAAAAAAAAAAATGTGTTAATTAGTTTTCCCCAAACTCTTTCGCTGCGTTGCCCGCTGCGATCGTTCAAGCTTTTAGCTTTATGGCTATTGTTGAGCTGTTGGCGTTGAAATACGCCCGCGGATTAATAATTAATTAAGGCTTTATTCACAAAATGCATTTGTAAACGATTGTGTCAAGTGTTGATGGGTTTATTGCTCACTATTTTCAAATGGCAATAGCCAGCTTGGATTTTCTTAGTAGCATGCAAATGTGACATAAGCCAAATGTAATAAGCGTAAGAATAAATGATTTTTATTTAGGTTTTTATTTTTTTTTATTTTAGCCATGACGTGGCCGTCGTTTTGTTCAATTTACTGTGTGAAAATTCGCATAAATTAAGCGCAGAGTACAGAGCACAGCAACTGAGGCATAAATATTATGCAAAATGCAAGCGCCGACGAAGACGGAGACTCGCCCCTTCCCTCACATGCTGATTATATAAGTCACGATCTCAGCCGGCGAGATGAGCAGCTGTTGACCCCGGCTAGCTTTTGTGTTCTTAGCGGATCGTTTGTGGCATTTAACATGGATTGGCAATTAGCTATAGGAAAGTATATTTATGTTAGTTACTGTACTGCCAATGTGACAAATGCCATTCAAGGCCGGAACCAAAAAGACTTGCCTATATTTTTGAAGGGAGGGCAGCCTGGCGGCTAAAAGCGAAAACAAAACGAAACTTTAACGCTTTTTAAAAGCGTTTTCGGGCCTTATAATTAAATGCAATTATTGCGACGCCAGCGCCAGCGGGCTGCTTAGCTCAGTATTCAGTTTAAAAGTATTTTCAGTTTTTCAGCTTCAGAAACCGAAAACAACAAAGGAGCTGAGGAGAACAACTGGAAAACATATGTAAGCGAACGGGGCCAGAAAACTGAAACTCAGAGAGTTCCAGGCTAAAATACATAAATTAAAAATTTGCATTGTTCTGTTTCAGGTGGAGATCACTATAGAGGGGTAGTGGCAGTGTGAGGAGAGTAACGACTTGTTGACTGTTTTCATACAATTCGGAAATTTAATTAAAGGCGGCCCCAAACAGCAGACAATGAGATCCGCCAGCCAGCCCCCTCTACTGCCCTCCTGTCTCTTTGCAGGTGCAGCATCTTAGCTTGGACTTCAAGTCTGGGGGTATGCAAAACTCAGAAAACTCTGAAAACTTGACCCTCGCGTCTGCAAAATCAATACAATTGCCACCCAGGGAGACTTTCAGACTTCAATGGTCTTGTGGTCTTGCGGCCTTGGGGCAGTAGTGCCCAGTGAACAATTGAATTGCATTTCAAGCAGCTAAGGACATTTGATGTTGATGGGTCGCATCCTGTGAGAAGAGCAGGGCAGAGAGAGTGAGTGAGCTGGCGACAGGACAGGCAACCCATAAGTCAGCTGAGTGCCACATAAATTTTAATTTGTTGCATATTTTGTCAACGAAAAATCCACACACAACACACACCGTACTCCTTCTCTGTGAAGACAAACTCCTGCTGTGATTTTCTTGGGAATTCCCTGGTTGGGAGCGGGGTCAATAATGGTTTCTTTATGTTAATGTTATGCAATCAAAATGCATACGATTTAAATGCCAATAAAAAATCAACGCCGATCCAAGAGCCACACGAAGTCAACGCTTAACAGTTTGTTTGTTTTTGTTGCCGTTGTTATGGTTGTTGCCTGCCTTTTTACGCATCTTTAATAGACCAATTTTTCGTGCGGTTAAGCTGGTTAATATAACCCTTCTCGCTTTTTCACGTTCGTTGCCTAAGTCTTTCGTTTGGTGGCGCCAGGGAAATAAAAGAAGAAGACAGACACACAGAACGAACCTGACCGCGCGACAAGGTTACATATATTTTCATAGTTTGTGTTGATGATCCAGCTCGATAAACCCACTCGGCTGCTGTCTGATTATGTTTTTAGTGCGCTAAGTGATAATGATGATGCACCTCGATCGTTATCATCAGCCAGCAACCAGCATCCAAATCGAAAGCATTCCCATACCCACCATACCCCAATCAAGAGGTGGACAGCAGAAAATGTAAAGAGTTCGGGGTCTGGTTCCCGGAATCGTATTATGACATTTGAGAACTTTCACGCTGGCTTTTATGGTCTTTGGCGACAGAAACGTGGCCCGAGATTGATGCTCATATTCGTCGATTTCCCAGGAAATCCAAACACTAACCCCCCCCAGCCCCAATACAGTTGCTGAATTTATTAGTTAATTTGATCGAATGTGTGGATGGTTAGCCCAGCGGGCCATGGCTTGGGACTATCTACTTACCAGTCTTCGCTTTGGCTTGATCAGGGGTCGGTTTTGGCCATTCATTTTGTAGTACAGGCCACAGGCGTTGCATAGATAGTGTCCCGTTCCGTCGCGTCGCCACAGGGGCGTCGAGGTGGCGCCACAGTTTACGCACTCGCGTCCTTCTGCAAAATTTCAAAAATAAAAATGTAAAACTTAAAAAAGGGTCTCCAAAACAGTTGAAAGTTGGGGTAAGTAAGTATTATAATGTTGTGAGTTATGCTATGAAATATAAAGGTTAAAGGTTAATTAGAATTAAAGTTATGGATATAAATTAGATGATATATTAGGGTATTTTTTTAAGATCTTCATCCTGCAAATTTTGACCATTTTTTGGAATATATTTTGTATGTTTTAGGCCAAGTTAAGACCAAAACACCAGCAGCAATGATGCACAGCAGCAACAACAAAGGGCAACATTTTTCAGCTGTTTCTCAGTCATTTGGATGTTTTTTTTTTTGAGTTGCTAGTCGGTTCGGATGTATTTTTTTTCGTATTTCTCGTTTTTTTTTGGGTTTCTGGGCAAACGCATGGAAGCGGAAATGATGGATTCGCTGGGGTCGGCTGTCGCTCGCCCTCTCTCTTTCTGCCCGCCTAGTTCCGTCCCTGTCTCTGACATTGCCTTTTGCTGACTTTACACATTTTAATTAAGCAGCCACAGGGACGGCTTCGTTCTAGTGACTGCAGTTTGTGGCTGCTCCTTCTCTTTCTAATGCGCTACCCCCGTCTCTCTCGTCTCTTGCTAACTGTAAGTCAGCCTCATTTGAATAAGTTTAGTCATAATTTGTAAGCCGAGTTGATTTGACCCGACTTCTCGGGGGAGGGGAAGAAATGAAGTTGCAAATGTAACGCGTTATTAACGTTCCATATTACAGTTGTCTTTCGGAGGCCGCTTCTTCGGGGGTTTAGGTTTAGGTTAGACCCCCATTACCCAACCCCACCCCCACTCTGCCCCTCTGTTCACTTTTTTCTCAACTCATTTAATGACGCCACTAAATGGGCTTCATTATTTCGGTTTTTGTGTTTAATGCCTCGCTCTCTTTGTTTTTTTGGCCGGGCCGAGAGCTTGTTTTGAAATTGAAATTTAGTCATAAAGTCACTCCCCCACTCCGGGCCATGGGCCATGGCTATTAGCCGGGCTAAAAAGAAAACCGAAAGATTTAACGCTACTTTTTGGAGGTTCGGTGTAATTAATTAAGCCAACCTTTTTACATGGCCACATGAGCATAACTTTTTATTGAATTTTAGCCACTCTGGCCAAAAACCAACCACTCCCGAAAAAAAAAACGGTTAAAAGGCCGGTGGGTGGGGGTGTTGGTATGTATCTCATTAAGTGCGTCGCCTGCCTTTAAGCCATTAGGGGAATTCCAGTTGCGTTTCTGATGACAGAACCTCGGGGCTTACCTCACGTGATTTGATTCACGCAGCCATTGTCACACGTGTCCTGCGGTGTCCTGTCTGTCTCTCTTTTATGCCCCAGGCATTCCAGGTATTTTGTTCTTGAGCTTTCAAAGAAATTAAATAAAACGCTCTGCGTGTTCCCGCCCTTACTCCCATACCACCCGGCGTGTGGTCAAGTAATCTCAATGAATTCTTTTTATTTTTGTCGCCAAAGTTGCCCCCCAGGCGAGTTAAATAAACAGTTCATTTGTTTTCATTTAATCGCAAGTTTGGTCTGCTTTGGTTTCTTTTCTGTTTGGCTGTTTGGCTATTTTGGCTTAATCGCACTTGTTGGGACGCTTTTTTAATTGCCGCTGGGCGTTGTCTTTTTTTTCATTTCGGGCCAAACTGCGTGGAAGTGCCGCCAATCAAAGAGACAACACCCACTGAATTAAAATTGCATAAATTAGCCAGCTTTCTTCGCGGAAAATTGGTGTGTTTTCAATGGCAGATATGACTGCGAACTGCGGGATGGCCATAAATTTTCACCTGCCTCCAGGAGTCATGCATATTTATGCCCACATCTGTCTGCGGTTTGCACTTCCAACCGGGAGCCGGGTTGAAAATTGAAAACTTTATGCATTTATTAGTTTGTCATAAAGCAGAACAACGGAAGGCCATCGTTGTCGAGTGTTTAGCATTTTGGCATAAAAGGAGAGCCTTCCTTGTTAGCCACCTTGGTTGCATATTAAGCCATAAAGTGTGGCTGCTATTGTTGGAGTACCACTTCGCCAGTTAATAAATCAAACCTGTTAATGATGTTTTCGCCCTACGAGCCCACTTTTGACAACACAAAAAGGTGGCCAAGACACAATCTGGCCAACTACTGCCTCTAAGAGAGTCTCTTTTTGTGGCCTTTTGGGGTTTACTACTTTTTGATTTGACTTCTATTTATAGGGATACGATCCTGAATCTTTTGTTTTTACGATCGTCAGGCTTTTGTTTTATACACATTGGTGTCTCCCCCTCGGCTTTGTTTTTGTGCCCCACCTCTCTATTTTATTTATTTTTATTCCCATCCCAGAGACACACGTAGCACGTAGCGCAGGTTGGTATGTCCGTCTATGATTTAGTAGCCTGCTTATAACTGTTTCTGGCCCCAGACTCTCAGACCCGGAGCCCCTAAATTACGAACATCTTCTGTGGTCCAGGCCCGGCACACACTCATCTGGTTGTAATTTCCTGGAAATTTGTGCACACTTTGGTATTTCGTTTGTGACATTGTCTGGAGAGTCCACAAACAACACAAAACCCAAACTGAAGTCCGAACTGAAACCCAAAAACCTAAAACCCAAAACTGAAACTGAAACCGAAACTGAACCTGTTTTTAGGGCCTGATTTGGCAGCCTCTTCGTTTTTGGCCGTCCGTCTCTTCCCAGTTAGGGTAGAGGTCTAAAGGTCCAACTAACTGTTGCTGCTTGATTTGACATTTGGCGTCAGTGGGCCATAATTGTCTAGAATTTATGTGTTGTACCTTTTTTCTTGTTAATTCTTATGCATGTGGGCAGGCAGACCATCGAGTGAGAGATCCTGAGAATCAACCTCAGAGTTTAATTAGTTGTTTGGATTAATATACAGATTAATGGGCTGATCAAGATAGTTGTAAGATCGTTGTAAGAGACAATTACTTGGTGAGCAAGACAAAAGACACATGGATGTGTGTGAGTAAATAGTTGTTGTTTTTATTTTGTTGTTATTGTTTTCGCGGTTATATCTTGAAATTAAAAAAATGAAAATGCTTCAAATATTTACAAAACACAAGAAATGAATTAAAAAATTGAACTGAAAAAGGGTGAAAAGCATGCGCCTAGTATGAATAATTGGCACGCTCTCGGCTGCCACAATGGGGAAGGGTTCTCCTGGGGATAGGAAAGAGGTGGTTGGACTTAAGGGATCTTAAGGATGCATGCCTTAAATAAATGGCAAGCGCCTCATTTTGAGGCCACAGCTGTCAAAGCGCGGACAAAGGAACAATGCCTATATATGCCCGCTGCTCTTTGGGCTTCGGGCTTAATCCACCCGATTTTTGATTCTGATTCCAATACCGATCCGTTTCACTTGGGGATCGCCTCTGCGCAGTGCCCAGTGCCCAGTGTCCGTACCCATATCAATTACTTAAAGCTCATTCACAACATTTTTTATTTTCACCTGACAAAAGCCCAAATGACATCCAATCAATTCAATGGCCAGGGCCAGACTCCTCACTCGGTACGGTATCTGCGGTTGCTTCGGTTTCTTCGGTGGCAACGAGCCACAAAAGCCACAACACATGTTCTTGCGCCCGAAAAACTTATCGCCAGCGATGCGATAAACGATAAATAAATACAGATACACAGATACCCAGATATACAGATACAGATACACTCGAAAGATTCTTCTCGAGGAGACGAAGGACGCGGACTAACGAAGTCAGACAATGTGTTGGTTGTTTTGTTTTCTTTTTTTTTGGCCAACAAAGATGCAGAAACTGTCGCCGGGCCAAGAAAATAAAATAAAATCTGCAAGCATTTTGTCAGGCGACTTCTCCCTCTTCACGTAATTTTTTGTTGTCTCTTTTTTTGTTGTTGTTTCTCTGCCAAGATGCTTCCTCATTTGTTGCTGGGGCTGTTATACAGTCATGATTATATGGCTCATACGTGTGTACAAACTATACGAATCTATTTGCATTTGTGGGTGCAGCTGGAAAGCAAGGTGCGCTCTTTGTATTGTAATCAAAAATCTAAAAACAATTGCATTTCGTTGAAGAGGTGCTGTTGCAAAAGGTGCTTCGAGAGGGCTTAGCTTTTGGTCCTTCGAGACACGGGACTTTCAACGAGATTCTCCTCAAGAGGTCCAAAAGGTGCATGACATTGAGTACTTTAATCCAGAGGATTTCTATCTAAATCTCTATAAGCTGTTCGGTATTTTGTTGACCAAGTTCCCTCTTGAAAAAGGCCCATCATTTGGTCCTTCGAGACATAGGATTTCTAACTATCTATCAATTATAAGCTATATCTTTATATAAGCTATTGACCAATCTAAGCCCACTTACTACGAATTCCATTTGTCAATTTTCTGGTTTCCTTAACTGAATTCAACAATGTTGCTGCTGCCTGTGACTAATATTGCAGCAGCAACTAATTTTGTTGCTTTTGGGCCTTTGCCAGCGGGTTTTCTCGGTTCTGGCCAGTTCGGGCTTCTGTGTATTTTTTTGGGGTTGTGGCTATATCAGACCGACCGACCGGCAGACCGACCGACCGACCGACCCTCACGCATATAGCCCAAGTGGCAGCTATAAAGATGTCGTTGTTGTTGCTGCTGCTGCTGCTGCCGGGCCATGCAAAAACGCAATGTTAAAGCAGGTGCAGCAGCCTGCAACTTCCGCAGCAAATGCGAATGAGTGTGTGTTGATATTGTGGTGTGGTGGGTCTTTTTCAAACAGCGGCAGCAGCAGAAGCAGCAACAACATGAAGTAATTAACAACCACAAACAGGAGAAAAAAGCAACAACATCATGAGGCAGTGGAGCAAAGCTCGCAAAGCGTTGACAATAGCATTGAAGTTGCTGCCGCAGTTGCAGTTGCTGCCGCAGTTGCAGTGGCAGCTTATTGTTGTTGCCGTTGTTGTCATTGTAATGTGGTGATTTCATGGCAAGCGAATACCCGGCGTATACGCAATGGAGTGAGGAGTCTAAATAAGAGGGGCCACAGTGGCAAGGGCTTTCTGCATATTTTTACACGGCCAGTGGTAGTGGCAGTGCCAGTGGCAGCAAAAGTAGGCAGGAAACATGCTCAAGTGGCGGGAATGTGGCCAGCATACTGCTCCCGAGCACATGTCAAGTGCTGGAGAATAAAAGTTTCCAACTTGGAGTAGCTGGTTGCAGTCGTTTCCCCCTCCTCCCCCCCCCCGGAGCCAGGGCAGGAGTTAAGTGATGATGAGACTCGGACTCGGATTCGGATTCGGAATCAGGGCTTCCCACGTGAGCGTGTGAATAAAAAAAAAAGAGGTAAGCGGGGGTGGCTGGAAGTTGGAGGTTGTAGGTTGTAGGTTGGGGTTTGGTTTCTTTTTCAAAATTATAACTACAAACTAAAGTGAAAACTAAACAATAAATGCTTCAACTTGAGACTGTTTACTGAGGGGTTTCGTCATCGATTTGTTATCGATTATTTCGATAACTAAGTAAATACTATACAACTTTAAGAGATATATTCAAGCTCTCGATAAACAGTCTCATTTCAACACAACACTGACATAAACATAAACGATTTGGGCCATCGATCAACAACCATTCATCGAATGATCGCCTATCGATAACCGATAACAATGATTATTCACCCACACCGAGATCGCATAATGTCTAGGATTTGTCTTGCTTACCAGCACTCGTCCTTGGTTTCGTCCTCACGGGCTTGACGTCCAAGCCGCTACCGCTGGTGTTGTTGCTGCTCGCACCACTGTGGCCGCCCAGCGAGGAGGCACCACCGCCCACACCCCCGCTGCCGCCGCTCATGCCGCCCATGCCGGAGCCACCGCCCACCGAACCGCCCAGGCCGTGCATCGAGGCCGAGGACGAGCCGCTATGGTGGTGATGGTGGTGGTGCGCCTGGGCGGCCGCCATGCTGTGGCGCACCGAGCTTTGGAACATGTTGGCCGCCGCCACTGCCGCCGCCTGGTGGTGCGCCGCCGCATGGTGGTACGAGGCATAGCTGGAGCTGTCATAGCCGCCGGAGCCACCGCCCCCGCCACTCGCCCCGCTGCCGTTGTTGGAGGCATAGTGGGCCTGCGCCGTCCCATCGAACAGTCCGTTGGAGGGCGTATTCGCGGACGCGGCGGCAACGGCTGCTGCGGCGGAGGAGGCGGAGTTGTTGCTGCTGGTGGTGTTGCTGTTGCTGCTGCTCCCGCTACTCTGTTGCTGCTGCTGTTGCTGCTGCTGCTGTTGCTGTTGGCTGCTGGTGGAGTTGGAGCTGGAGCTGGGATTAGAGCTAGTACCTTCGCGTTGTTTCGGCGCCGAGGACTGGGTGGGCCCGCTGCCGGAGGAGCCGCTGGCACTGCCGTTCTGGATCGAGGGCTTGATGTCCAGCGCACAACTGGCGTCCGTCAGTGAGGTAGATCCCGTGGCCTGTTGGTGCATGAAGGCGTTCATCACGGCCTTGAAGAAAAGATATCAAATGATGTTGATTATGAGAGCTTCTACTAACATTTTCCTACTAACTTGGCTAAAATCTAAAAAGAGATTCTTACCTGATATTCGGATGGACCGGTTTGTACGGAATCCGGCGTGGAGTCCTTGGGCGGCGTCGGCGGGAAGGGGAACGAGTGCTGGCCGGCCGCCGTCGTCTGGTGGCCCTGGCCCATCTGGCCCAGCTTGTGCTCCACCTGGGGCTCCTGGGGGCAGGCGAACTGGCCCATGCTCCAGGCGCTGGCGGGCGGGAAGGACTTGTGCTCGCTGGTCAGCCAGGGACTCAGCGGGGTGTGGAAGTGCGGCCGGCATACCTGGGGCGTGGCATGGGTGGAGGGCATGCGGGATGCTGAAAACACAAAATAAAAGATTAAGAATTTAATAAACTCTCCGCTGCGCGTCAACTTAAATGCTGCATTAAATCAATTATGGCCCGAATTTATAACGAAGATTAACCGACTGAGCTGCGATCCAGAAGCGATCAAAATTCGTAATAAATGACGTGCTTTCTGCTTGAAAGTGTTTGGGTTTTTTTATTCCAAAGTCGAAGCTGCCGCGCAAATTTGCGGAAAAGCTGCGTTATAATTTATGAAACACCAACCGAGATAGAGCGAGAGTATAAGCCGCCTCAGAACAACAGCAACTGACCACCGCCGCCATTCAACGCTCGCGGCCTTCGGGCCAACTTTGCATATGGCCAAGACCATAGAGTATAAAAGGAGGCAAGGCAACTGCGGCAAGGCAACTGGGACTTCTGCATTGTCATAAATTGTTTAATTTGTATCATAAACAATCGCGTTAAACTTTTGTCCCAAAGCTAAAAAGATCGATCAACGGCTCGAGTCGGCTGGGGTCGGCTTTTGGCCGGGCCTAAAAGTGTAGCCTAAATGTCTGGCAGTGTATAATTTAGCAGACACCAAGTGAGATTTATGTGCGCCAATGCTGCCGGTTACTCTCCATCCCAGATCCACAGATGCCCAGATCTCAGCCGGCAATCCAGAAAGATCTCTGGATCTCGGACTGATCGGTTCCCCCATATCCTCCCAGCGGGTGGCGGATGGTGGCGGGACGTTGCAATTGTTTGGGGCGCACTTATTCTTATTATTATCATTAATATTGGCTGCAGCTCCCCAAAGAGCTTGCAACTCGCTGGCCCTCGGGGCTTGTTTGTATGTGAAATTATTTTTGATTATGCAGCAGCAGCAGCAGCAACAGAGGCAGGCAGCAACATCTCGGATCAGCAGGAACAGCAGTTCAAGCTGGTTTGGCCAACAGTAGGTCAGTTCATTGCTCGCCAAGATGGATTAGGCCAAATCCAAGTAGAGTTTATACGACTAGCAATGCTCTATCAAATAAATCTTAAGGTCTTTAGTTTTATTTCCAAAATCATGCTTTTTATATCCCTACTTTGAATATTAAACTTCCATAAAACAGAAACCCTTAAAATAAGAGTATCCAGATGGCTGGGAAACCCAACAAGTTAGAGAACAAGATCGATGGTTGGATCGCTGGCTGCGATAATATCCATTTGATTATCCTAATAACAGTGCTTTAGTGGCGATATTATATGTACGTGTCTCTGATTATAGAAATTAGTGGCTGCCGGAGCATCAGAGGTAGCACAGGGAGTAGGATGCCTGCCCTCCACCTCGGGAAGACACTGCCAGCCAGTGCTGGCCAGCAATGCCTCAATCAAATGTGGTTATTGCATTTCCACCGCCGACTTCACACTTTTGCGCCAAACGACAACAAGATACTTTTGTATCTTGTATCTGGCCAGTGTATGAAGTCGTCATCGGGGAGATGATGTTGTGTAATTTCGGGGAGATCGGGACAAATAATAGCATTGGTCATGCCAAATTATATAGCTGGATGGTTGCATCTTTCAGCCAGTTGCCAAATCAATGTCCGATGCGTTCTTTAATTGGCATCGCGAATGCCGGCCGATGGTGTGGCAGATAGCAGATGCTGTTAATGTTAACCGGTACTCTCTCCCGCCCCACCTGCCGCAGGTATGTATGACTCACTGGAGAGTATCTTACTGGTTTTTTAAAACAATTCGCTAATAAATCAAGCTGAGTACTCAGTACAGCAATTAAAGCTGCAAACTTGAAACAAAAAAGAACGACATTTTTTTTCGTGTGTTGTTGTTGTTGTATGCAAAGCTCGTGCTGGTGGCCAGGCACGGCTATGTGGCTTTGTGTTTCTGCCCTTGGTAGTATAGCTCGTCTCCAAGCCTCCAAAAAACACGAGCCTGTCTCTGACACGTTCTATACAACAGCAACAAACAAATAAAAAAAACCGAAAAGTTGAAGTTTTTGGCCTGCGCTCGGCTTGGCTTGGCTTGATTTCTTCAAACTGACAGATCAAAGCCCCCAAAAGCCGCCTCTCTCTCTCTGTTTGGCGTTTTAAAAGCGTTTGACAGCGCTCAACGCTCGCTCTCTCTTAGCCCGGCTTAAAGCGCCTTTTAATTGCAATCGAAGCTGACGCTTGACGACGTGAATGACATAATTAATGTGGTGGGCCAATAACAACTTGGCCAAGTCTTCTCTTTGGCTCTTCAATTAGCCAAATGCATCAGCTGCCATTCCAGAGATCAGTTATCTACTCGTCAGCATCATTTGAATGCGAAAGGACAACAAAGGCACAGTACAGGATAATAGAAAAAGGATACACTCATCGAGATAAGAAAAAAGGATTCTGTAGCTCTTTGGTAAATTAAATTCACACTAGAACTGGGATTAGGGGTGCGAAATCAAGGGGAGGCGTTATCAATCGAGAGAAATCAAATCCGCAAATGAGTGGAAATCCAAAAAGGATACAACCCAGCTTCTAACCCACACCCCTCCCCGAATACTTTTCCGAGGAACTCATTCGCGTTGTCAGTTCAGCTCTGGAGTTCAGCTGCTTCCTGCCAGACAGCCAGCCAGCCAGCCAGCCATCCTGCCAGCAACAATCAATCATCGGAATCCTGCAGCTTGACCCCTTGAAGGTACAATGTCTCCAGGCGGTGGCTTAATTTATAGCCAGAGCTACCCTCAAGAAACAAGGACCTGCTTTTCACCTGCCCAGCGATGCCGATGCCGATGATGTTGGTGTTGTAGGCGCGCGTGGCTCCAAAATGCGGTCAAGTGTCTCTCCACGACGCTGTTACACCTGCTCCAAAATTGGAAATTGTTTAAGCCATGCACCAGTGGCAGTGGCGGTGGCAGCCAGCAACGGGCCATAAACTATAACGGATTCCAGTTTTAAAAGCCACCACCACCGATGGAGAGCTCAGCAGGTAGGTCAGTTTCGAGCTGTTCGAAGACACCTTGATAGTTGTAGTTAGTTGCAGAGAAAACAAAAATAGTTAGGAGGGGTTATTAGTAGAAAGAAGTGATAAGACAGAGAGACACCCCTAAGGGCTAACTATCTCCGAACATTTCTAATTAATTTCTAAGAAAGCTGAGGTGTTTTAAGCTTTCTAGCTTAGGGATTTCTTAAGTATTATTCAATAAAAAGTATCTTTACTTCTCTGGCCTGTATCTTAACCCGATATGGAAGCCAAAATTGAAGCTGGCAGTGAGGTCCCGCGACTGCTTAGCATTTTGCGCGCTTGTTTGTTTTAATTATTTCTTTGCTTTCTGCGGTTGCGTGACTTCGACTGACTGACTGACTGACTGACTGGAAGACTGCCCCAAGGACTGACTGACTGACTGACAGATTGGCGGACTGCTGGACTGACAGCCAGAGGCAGGCTGCATTATTAAGCGCAAACTGCGCTGCCACTGCCATCTATATTATTAACACTTTATTTGCAAGCTTGCCGTTGCCGCTGCCACCGCCACTGCCACTGCCTCTCCACGTTGCATGCCAGCTTATCATTAGTCATAAGTTGTCAATTGTATTTATGATAATGCGTTTAATAACTCAAGTAGCTGGAGCAGCAGAAACAGCAACAGCAGCTTGTAAGTTATGCCACTTCAAGTTGCAAGTTGCACAACGCACTCTACAAAATATATACAATAATTTTTCGTGGAATGGAATTCTCTCTGGGTTATTAATTGCTTTATAATTGATGTATTACCAGAGCTGGAGATGAGAGTGGAATTTCCTGGCAAAAATACATATGTGGAGCTTGTTTTGGGGGGGCAACGTGTGAACTACGTGGCCTGGGTGTCTTTTGCATACGTGCCACAATGCGGCAGAAACAAAAACTGAGGAAAACATGTTGACAACAAGACCCAGGCTGAGAAATGGGAGTCGGGCCGGGTCAGGTCGTAATGTTCGCCATTTTTGTGGCCATTTGCCGGTTGTGGTTGTGGCAGTGCCAGCAGTGGCAGTGGTGGGTGAAACATGCTAATAATGCGGCTGCAAGTTGGCATTTTGGTGGCACAAAAAGGCGCGTGCATTGAACTGGAATCCTGGCCACGCAATGCTGCAACTTTATGCAAATGCCGCCTGTCAGTCACTCACCCAAGTCCCTCAAAAGGGTCGGTCTCTCAGGCTGACAGCTTTTCTTCGCTCTAGACTTGTGGTGTAATGAGCTCTGAATCCTGGTATGATCCCGATCCTGGCCAGAAATACCTGCGGGCGCACTTATGACAGTTCGAAGCGTCAGCGAAATCATTAAAATTGACAAGTTTTTATATGACAGAACCAAATTTGGTCACTCAAAGATCGCGCGAAGTGAGTTCCTGTCCGATGTACCATGTTCCCTGGGCGGGATCGCAAGTGGACCAAGAGACCATAGTCTCGGACCACCAGCAGGCGCTGCTTCACATGTCATAAATAAGAACGCGTTGACATTTATCACAACAAAGGGCTTAAAAACAAACAATGCCTCCTCAGAAAAGCAACACAAAAAAAAAAACGCAACTGAGAAAACGTTGCATAAATTCATAAGCCCCACCAGGCCGAACTTGAGAAATTCAATTGATGCGACCTCGACTGCGGACTGTGAGTCTGTTTGGGTTTTTGGACCTCCGACTCCGACTCGGACTTGGACTCGGAATCGGTCTTGGGATGGCATATTCGCATATTAATAAAATATTTTATTAAACACACGCGCCGCCAACAAAAGATGATGCCCCGATGCTAAAAATTATGCTAAACAGTTTCGCGGCTGCTTTCCCAAAAAAGGCTCCAAACGAATCGAAAATCGTGATGTTGCTTTCGAAGCTCCTTTAGGATGTCCTTTCTTTTTTAGGATTCTGCACGCGCATTTCCAACAAATTTTTGGCGGCGTCTCTTGCGACACATATCTCTGAGATGGTTTTCAACAAAGTCCAGCAAATTCTACAAAAAAGTATCTTTTAGTTTTTATTTTTTATTTTGAAACTAAACTGGTTTGTGGCTCATCGAAGAGGGTTAACATTGACAAATGTTAATTAGAGGGGCGTCATTTGTTTCAAAGCCATTACAGGTGGTCTGCTCTACCGATTCTCGGTAAGATTGTTCTAGTTTGATAGTTCGGGATCTTGAGATTTCGGCTTTCTAGGAAGCCCTCTTCGAGCCGGGGAGTACAATGACTCTTTGGCTGATTAATAACCTCCACTGGCCTATGGGTTTGATTTAGTTTGCCGACCGAAGATCTGGCTTGAAGATCTTTGAAAATGTCGCAAAAGTCATTTGTAAACTTGACACTGCAATGGAAGCCCAAACACGGCTGCACAAATGTATTTGCAACAATTTATCAGCAACAGTAACAGGCACTCGGTTGCCGCTGTTGCACTGACAGCGGGGGCAGCTGGCAGCAGTTGGCAGCAGTTGGCAACAATGCGCTAATATTCAATATTGTAATTGCATTCACAAATCGTGAAGCCAGGGAGAGAGACTGCCTGGCAGCGTTCCTCCTGCTTGGAGGTTGCTGCAAAATTAATGAATGCAGCTTTGTATGGTTATACCCCCTATCCCCCTTAAAGGGGGGGGTTTATATTGACCACTCGCTGTGTTAGACAAATCACAACAACAGAAGCAACAGCAACATGTTGCTGCCGTCCCAGATGCGTAAGCTTTTGTCTGCTGCTGTTGATATAAATCGGCATGGAGCTGTTTTTTGATTTAACATATTAATAACGAGGCCCAGTAGCTGGGCTTATTGATGATGCCACACCACCACCATATACCAGCCGATTCGCATACCTGGATATTGTTGTATGAACAAGTTCCTGGAAAAGAGCGACTGACAAATGACAGGCAGAGACTGTGGCGATGACTTCCGGCCAAGTTCGCCAGAAGCAGTGGCAGGCAGCAGGCGGCAGGCCTTCAAAGGCGAGTCCTCTCGCTAGCCAGTCGCCATCTTGGCCAGATTGATGCAACACGGCAACGGAGCAACAGAGCAACATTGCAACATCGGGCGACATTGATAGTGATTGAAGGACAGCTGTTCACACTAGGCGAACCAGGTAACTAGCCAGGTAACTGGCAAGCCACTGCCAACTATCTGGGCGAACGTCAAATTAGAATGCGAAACGTGTTGCCAATGGGAATGTTGCTTCTCTCTGGCACTCGTTCCTGCCCTGGACAATGGACAATGTGGCGGCACCTTTGCCACAGCGAAAGCATGCAAAGCAGCAACATCAAACCAGCAACGAGCAAACCAGCAACCAGCAACTGCAATGTTGCTGTGTTTCTGTGGTGGAGTGCAAATTAATTGAAGCATCTCTCCCGGGCGAAGCAATGTCAACGACATCACGTGTTGCATGTTGCACATTTTGGCGTAGGCTGGTGGCTCTCGGCCATGCCCCAGCACATTCTTATAATTATGTCATTTAATTAAGCAAAGACAGCTCGCATTGCCACGACTAATTAAAACATCTCGCCAGCAGTAGCAGTAGCAGGAGCAGCATCATACAACATGTGGCAGTGCAACGCGGGCGGTTGAATGAATGACCGGCCACTGTCAATGCAACAAAGCTAAAGGGAAAACGGCGCTTCAACTTTGCCGCTCAATGGATCGTACGATGTAAGGAATGCTTCCCGGAATTTGGGTCATAATTAATGTGGCATCAGACACTTTAATCAAAGCAAATTGAAAGCTACTTACCAAGACTATCGCCCACTTGAAGGATAAAAGGTTTAAAAGTCTGATTGTGTGATTGTCAAGGATATCAATCATACGCAGCGGTGGCCCAGCTGTTCAATTGCAATACCATAACTCATTTTTATAGGCCATCCACTCGCACACAATTCGCTGAAAAGTTGCGCACCGGGATTAAGATTTGCCGCCGAGATTCAGACCCAAGCACGCTATATCTACATATATATATATATATATATATATATATATCGTATGGTTGCAGTCAGTAAATTACAACAACTATTACGGCCCAGCCCCAACTAGCCGCCTGGCTATTCCTTGTTGCTGGTGTTGTAATTTTCTTGGAAATTTCAGTTTATGCGCTTTCGGGCCTGGGCCGCATGAAAATTTATGAGTGGCCAGCGCTTCAAGTGCAACACCTGGTAGCTGGAAAGCTTTTCAAGTCAAAGTCAAAGGGAACAAAAGCCTAGATGGCTAGTCAGGAGTTGGTTATACTGTATGTAGGCTTGCTGGCCTTTCAATGGACCCGCATCATACCCATTTGATATCCTTTGTGGCACGGCGGTTGCGATGCCACTGTGCGTGACATTTGCGTTAAGTGGCCTAGCCTGTGGGAACTTTTACATTTTTGTCCGAATTATGAACTGAAAGAGGCAGGGCTGCAAAAAGTTTTCATTCGCCCGATTTTGGCCAACAGATAAGCCCCAAAAAGTTGCAAACAACAAATGAAAATGCACGACACACACAAATATTCGGAAACTTGGGGACTCGGCCCACCAGATATCGCTCTATCTCTATCTGGGAATCTATATCTCATTCGCTCTTAGCTGCGTGCGAGTGCAATGGCAGATATTGCAGATATATACCATACCATACTATAGTCTATACATGTGCCTGAAATATTCAAACGCTCGACTCGGGTCGGATCGGGTAATTAAAAATAAATTTTATGCTCAAGCTTTAACAGCCGACGGAGCTACAAAAATAAAAAAATAATTAACAAGATTTATTTTAAAACGAACTATAGATGCTCTTTAAATCTTAAACTACTTGACTTTTATAAAAATAAAGTGTCTTAATGGCTATACCCTACTGATGATAAAGGGTATCATTGTCTAAACAAATAGTCAAGCTTGTATTTTTCATCGAAAATGTTTGAGAAAAACAACAAGCCAGTTAAGATGAAAAAATAAATACTCGAAAACACACACATACTTGGCTATAAAGTCACGGGGCTGGCTGACAAAAGTTATTGCCAAAATTTGCGGCATGTTTGCTTTTGAAATTTAAATTTCACATTTGTTGTTGTTGGTTGTTGGCTGCTTTTTATGGCTTTGGCTATCATAAAAATCAGTCAGAGTGTGTGCGAGTGTGTGTTTTGGCCATTAAACTGCATTGGCTCTCTAAGCAGGGGCTTGGAGGGGCTTGGTGTACCGCCCTAGTTGCTTAATTTGCCTCTAATGACAGCCACTAAACTAAACTCGGGCCCCAGCCACTCATAATTGACAACTAAATTGGGACTTTTGACAATATAAGCCAGCTCTAAGCCCTCCCGAGATCTGACATATGCAGACTAATGAATTTTAAAATCAACGCTCGCCACAGGTGCCGCTTCGGTCCAGTCGTTATGGATGCGAATGCCACTCTTGCTGCCACATCCACTCTCCCCAGACAAACTGTCTGTCAAACGTTGATCGGGATTTGAATTCCCGGGGACTGGGACTGGGACTCGGAGAGTGCATGAATGAATTACAGATGGAATCAAATCAAGCATCAATAAAGTCGGCATATGAATAACATGAATTAAACATAAATGCAAAGGGTATATATGTATGGATGGAGGCCAGAACTTGGCCAGACTTGGAGCTGATTGATCACTTGGCAGTGTGGCACAGCCTCACTTAGCCCAGACATTCCAGAGGATAAGGAGCTGGGAGCTTTGGAGGGGAGCTATCCCCTTTGAAAAATTTTAAATTAAAATTTTGCACACTCGAAGAGCAGGAAATAAATTCAGCGACCACGCCAAGCATTGATGCATGTCACGTTTGGGTGTTCGTTGCGTTTACGTGGAACTGTCAAAAATGCAAACCAAAAAATAAAATAAAAAAAAATACCAAAACCAAAACCAAATCCCAAAACCAAAAGCTGCAACAACAATGGGCCAAGTGCCAAGTGAAAATGGTTTGGGGCATCAACTGTCAAAACTGACAGCAGAGTCACAGCCGTAGTGGCAGAGTAGCTCTGAAAAAGCCCAAAAACAGAGCCCGGCCAACAACGGTGGCTCAAATTGAAAATTAACTTAGCGGAACTGGAAATTTTTTTCAGCTTTTTGGAGGCGTGTGAACCTCACACAGACACCTGGACTTTAGCAAAAAAAAAAAAAGAAAAATAAAGAAATAATAATGTCGTCTGGTATGCTTTGTTTTTGGAGATTTTCCTCTAATGAGCCGAGATCATTTTCTTTTCTTTCAGGCCATTAGTAGGAAAGTGAAACGGTAGCTTGAAGTACATAGATAGTTCTCAGGTGGAAAATTACTAACAGGGCAGGGTAATAAAGTTATAAAAAATATTTAAACTTTGTAGAAACTACCTAGTTCTGGTAGACAATTATTAACCTTATCTGCCACCTTAATTCCATGTTTTGGGGATACAATCTAGCTGCAGGACAACGACTACCCAGATTTCTATCAAAACTACCATTCCCCCTCCATGCTATTGGATTTCTGATGGCGACCAACAGGAAACGCTCACTCAGCAACACAAAAAAGGCGCGAAGCAATCGATTTGTGGGTGTTACCACAGACCACCATACTCTACTACCCCAACCCACCCACTCTAGCAACAATCCGGCCACTGGCAACCCCCCCGCCAAAATACCATTCATTAAAAACGCATTAGAAATGACATTAGAACAAATGTCCAGGAGGGAATAAAATGGGAAAAAGATGGAAGAAATTACTGGAATAAAGCTTGAATCGAAAAAGACCTTTCACTAACAGTACTTGGTGGTTCTGATCAAAAATATATATAGTCATTCCATAACTTAAAAGTTAGTTAAACCAGTTTAATGATAAAATATTGACTAGCCAATTAAAGACTCAAATTTTGATTAAAAATTATAATACTTACTGTGCTGATGATAGCTGGGATAGTAACGCCGGTGGTGTCCGTTGCTCTCGAGGGCGTAGAAGGCGCTCATGTCGCTGGTGTCCAGGCCGGAGCCGCCGCCTCCGCCTCCGAGGGCCGCCCCCACACTGCTGCCCGCCGAACTGGCGCCGCTGGAGAGGCTGTGATGGCTGTGGGCCAGGCTACTGCCGGCCGAGCCGAGGCCGTTGGACTGGCCGATCGGTGAGACGCCACCCCCATTGCCGCCGGAGGTGGCACCACCGCCGCCGCCGCCTCCGAGACGCGGACTGTCATACCAGCTGCGAGCGGCAGCCTCCGCGGTTGAGGTCATATCCATTTCGAGTATAATTTTGAATGCTTTTCTGTGCTACCGGGGGGGCGAGGGAATCAATCAATCTGTATCTCTCTCTTCGCTAAGGGGGGTTCTCTTTCCAGTGGCGTGCGCTTTTTAGTGGCAACGCATTTTAGCCACAAAACAACTGGCTTTCTTTCTCTCTTTATCTTTCCCTCTGCAAGTTAAGAAATTTCGGTTTTTTAAAGTTGGTTGGAGGTTTGGTGTCTGCTTCTGTTGTTGATAAGATTCTAACGGTAGCCGGGCCGTTATCACTCGCTCTCCCTTATCGCGAGCTTTACATTTTTTTGTTGAATGCTTTTTATGGCTTTATGGGGGTACAGTTATACAGGATAACCGTGAGTTGATTTACGATCGTCAGTGCTTTTCGACTTTTGACCAATTGTGAGTAAGTATATATGTAGTCTAAGAGTGTGTGGGAAATGCCAAAATATAAAAAAAAATCAAAATATATTTTGGCATTCATGCGGTGATTGATGGCCAAGGTGAGGTTTAAGGTTTAAGGCCTAAGGCCCGGGGGATCTAATAAACATGTCCCCGAACAAAAACAGCAGCAATTGCATTGTGAGATTGTCAAAACAAACAACTACAACAACAAGAGTCATAAACAAAGGATATCTGCGGGATGTCGGCGCCTGAGTATCTGTGCATCCCTGAGATACTCAGTTGTGTGGGTGGTCCCAATTAGAAACAGTATTAGAGGTTTATCGAAGATCCCCGGCATCCGTCTACCAAGTCGTATCTAGTCTCTTGATTTAGACAGGTAGCCACATTTTTGGGGAATTTTTTTAATATTTTTTTTTTTCGGGGGTTTATCAGCAATAGATAGCGTATACCGTGCGTGTGTGCATTGCACTCGTTGATTTCTTTTCGAGATTACTATCGAGGAACGGGGAGAGTTCACTTTCGACTTTCGACTACCACTTCTATTTGCCTACTTTGTTTGCTTTGGCTTCAACCAAAAATACAAAAAATTAATAATAAAAGTCGGACGGACCGAGGGGACTACAGTATCTTAAAGGTATATAGTACACCCCAGATGTCTATCGTTCAATTGACAATTGCGCTACAGAAATGCGATAAGGCAACATAATTTGTTACCTCCGGAAAGAAAAAGTAAACAATATCGGGAGTCTATATTTTTTTTCGGGTTCTGCGTGGCAGAGAGTTGGAAACTCAATCAATTTATCTGTATCTATCAGAAGCAGTGCGGCAGTGCGATAACTGCAATCGGACTACTTTTCATTAAATGTCTTTGTTATTTTTTTTTTTTTCCTAATATTTCGGTGGTTCTTGTTCTTAGTTGATAGCAATAAATTGATAAGCGCAAGTGCCAGATTTTTCAATGCTTGTGTCAGTATTTTTAATAAAATTCCCATAGCTGATTGCTCCGATAAGGATGTCGATGTTGGCCAGGCTAGCGTTGAGAATCTTTTTCCATTTTCTTGCAATTTGTTTCTTGAATTTTTTTATTGAATTTCGCACTTGATCTTACATTTCTTTTTTCTTGTAGCACACTTATTAGTCACACTTTTTTGTTTGTGGTTTTTTTTTAATTATGGTAGTTGGGGTTTCAATCACACTGGGTTTCAAGCTGCGAGATTTTGCCGACGCGATTCGAGCTTTCTTCTTGTAGTAAGTAGCTTCCAACCGCCGCGATACGAAAATCGAAAGACGAACGAACGCAACGCTTGCAAACACGTTAAAACGACGAGCGACGAGCGCGGCACGTTGAAACACGTTGGAAGTTGAAATCGGTTTGTAAACCCGGTTGCTACATGCCCCGCAATTCGCTCACGAGAGCACGTTCGGCTGCCTCTCGGTGAGCACACGACGGCCGAAAAACAGGAAAGTGGCAGTGCGGAGAGTCTGAGCCAAGAGCGAGAGGGGGTAGAACCCGTTTTTGCCGAGGGCCGGCCTTTCGTGTGTGAGTGGCACATACAAGATGGTCGCACCGTCAAGCTTGCGCCAAAGCGAGATAGCCGTCTTCCGGTACAATATGCTTGTCACTGTTTCGCCTAGAGAGCGGGGCGTGTTTTTTTGCAGGTAACCGGTTGTTGTTCGTGTGCGTTGCAGTTGCATGTTTGTTGTGTGTGAGTGTTGTTGTTCTTGTTGCCCCGTCGGCGCTCGTCATGCTCGAGTGCATCGTTCAATAATCTCTCTGCGGCACGCCTCTCTGCACTTGGCATGGTGCCTACACTAACACACACACACACACACACATACGGATACAGATATAGTGGGTTATCCTGCGTTTTGGTTGTCTGTTCGCTCCGCTCTTGGCCGCTTTTCCTTTCCCTCCTCCCATCGTCCTGCCGCTCTGCCACACTCTCTTTTTGTCCCCCGCCCCCTTGTCAAGCAGTGACAACAATCATCGATCGTTCCGTTTGTGATTATGTGGTTTATTTATGGGCTTTAACATGTGTGCAGATTTGTCTGACGATTTTTGAGTTATATGCCCCATGCGTGCGGGTGGGAAAGAGAGACGCACCCCGAGAGGGAGATAGCTGGCCGAATTTGCATAAATTAGCAGCTGGAAATTAAGAGACGCAGCTTCTTTTGCGAACTGCGAACGCAGAAGAGCAAAAGATAGTTTGCCGCCCGTATCTAGATACAAATTATTAATATGGCGCTCGTATATTTTCGCGGCTGAACAACTTGGCAACTTGGCTCCTCCGGGGTCGCGCACATGTACATCTGCTGCGCATAAACAGCTAACACAGACACAAGCAAAAAATTCGCACACGCACATGTGGCCGAGAAGGAAGTCAAAGATACTACGTGAGCGGGAAGTTTCAGATACAGTTTGACTTTTAATATTTGAACTTTTATTTTAAAAATGAATTATAGTAATTTTTGGATATCTTATTGTTTAAAATTTTAATATCTTTTAAAAGTTGAACTTTCTTATTAATATAGCGAGTGGTTCTTTAGTAACCAAGTCCTCCTGTATCTTTTCGCATTGATTTTAACCTTTTTATTTGGCGCTCAAGGGTTAAGTGGAGCTGCTGCACCTGTGAACTGGCAAAAAGGATGCTCCAAGACAGCTGCAAAACTTGAAAGTTTCCCAGACTTCCCCACCGACTTAATTCCACATGAATATTTTTGAATATATTTGTGGTGATCGTTTTTCCAAAGGCATTTCATTTCATAAGTTCATATCGCAGAGATACGCATCTAACCAGATCTGGCTTATGGCTAAAATAAACCGTTTGTCAAAGCCCCTCGGCCGACTGACTACCTAAGCAGCAGTTTATGTATGTAAATACCTCGGCTCGCAGATAGCGCTCTTGATAGTTACAGATACATAATTTGAGATAAAGATACAAGCCCAGGCCCAAAGAGACAGTAAGCGGCTGCCAAAAAAAAAAACTGAAAACTAAAAACTAAAAACCTGTAACCAAAATCAGATCAACAAACGGTGCAAACACCAAACACGAGCGACGAACCGCAGAGGGCGATGGAAAAACAAACAGAAAACAACGAACAACCAACACGGTTGTTGGTGTCACTGACAGAACAACCCAAACAATCTGACAGACAATCTCTTAGGAGACCAAAGGATACTTCGAAATAAAAATAAGACATAGCTGGTGGAAGATCTCCGATTAGATGACAATCTGTTTCCTCAAGCCAAATAAAAAGCAGTTGATCAATTGGTATTTATGGGTATTATTATCATACATTTCATATTTATTCTTCTGATAACTCCGCCCCTATTAATCAGCGCTCCAACAATACCGAGTGCATAAACTACGATTTAAATTTTTGACTGTTATAAATCACCTGAGATCCCCCAGCAATTCGACGGCTTCCAGACGAGGAATGCCACGAAATACGAAAATCTCGATGGGCCTCCGAGGTTTAGGCGATAAGATTCGAATTTCGGAGCAGTCATGTCTGGCTGAAGGGTCTTGGAAATGGATGAATTGTCACGTCAGGCTGTCGGCTCTGGGAACTCAACTGGTAATCGCCAGATGATAAGTTCGTGTCAGCCTCAATTGGTTGAGGAAGTTGTAGCTGATACAGGTGGCACCTATCGATAAGGATATGGCTTTTTTCATATTGATGAGATTTTTTTCAATATCTTTCATCAGAGATATAGTATATTTTGGTTCATATTTTTAATACAATTCTCAGAAATAGATAGAAGTTAATTCATAAATAAGTTAGAATCTCTTGAAATTAATTGAAGAACCACAAATTAGGTCATTTTATGATAAGCCACTGACCAATTTAAATTTTTTATCATTAAGTGACGAAACCCTAAAAATCAAATTGAATTTTACTTATCTTTATGAGGCCTATGAGGATAGTCGGCTATCGCTATGGGGGGCAATCGAGATCTCTTCCAAAAAAAACTTTAATTTGCAATCTATGATTGGTATGGAGAATTCTATGGTAAGAAAATTGATTATATTTTTTGAAATACTCGAGGATTAGATAAGAAAAATTGATCAATTGGTATTTCTTGTTGGAAGTTACTAGATTTCTTTTTATTAAAATTAAAGAGGTTCTATAGTTTATTTGAAAATGGAAAATTACCTTAACTTTTACTTCTGATGAGGTTCTGATGCATAGTTTTTCCAGCACGTGCGCTGCTTTTCCGGCGGTGGAGTTGCCAGTGGATCGGAATGAGTGGCAGGAGGAGAACACCAGACATGGCTAACGTCATGCCCGAGCCATAGACCATGTCTGCCCCTCCCGCCCACACACTCATGTATCTGTGTATCTGTATGAGCCACGTATCTGTATCTTTCCTCCAGACACCCCCTCCTCCGTCTAAAGAGCCGACGCACGTTGCGTGTAATTCCGATTTTAATCGCATAAAAATGTTTTGTTTATATGTATAATTTAGTTTTAACAATTTACGTTAACCTTTTGTTACCATTTTTAATTTGCCGCTGCCGCTGTGCGACGAGGTTGTTAAGCTTGTGTGTACATCTATTGCTGTAGTTCATAAGCAGCAACAATTAAATGCTCCATAAAATCGGTTTAAATACGCGGTCCATGAGTGCCTTGGTTTCCATACGACTATATATACTACATATACTATATATGTTTGTATATAGACAGTTATTATTACTGAGCTCAGTTTATTGCCACTTGCTGGTGTTGGTTTTTGTTTTTGTTATAATTATTGCCTTGTGATAAAAATCAGCGACATTTTTACAGCATTTAAACAAAGCATAAATTGTGATTTAGTTCCAAAACTGTCGCCGGCTTCTATTTGGGTATGTTTTTGGGGCTTGAACGTGTACTAGAATGCATATTGCATAAATAGAGTTAAATGGAACACTCTATGCCAGTATCAGTATCGCCAGACATACTTTTTAATGCAATAAAAATTCTATTTAAATTGCCACTTGTAATTACACAGTCGGACCCCCCTTTTCCCTCTTGGTGTATTATTATTTTACGCTATTGTAAAAATTATTAAGGCCATAAATGCAATTTTGAGCACGGGTTTCCACCATTAACTGGCTAATGATTGTTTGATCAGATTAATTGAAATTCCGAGATTGATTCGGTTTTATGTTTATATTATCATGATTGGATTGAGATAATATATAGTTAGTGAGATTTTCAGTTTGATTTGATAAGGTTTTCGATTAATTTAATACCTACAGGTAGGAGGGTTTCAAAAGTTGTACTACAAGATTGTTAATCTATTGACTTGTTAAAGACTGGTTATAAAGATATATCCATACCCCCCAGCTATGCGTCTGCCATTTTGGACCCCCAACCACCCTTTATGGGCATCTCCCTTGGCAATAATCGGACCTCCATTGCTGTTGATTTTGTTATAGGCCCGGTACTATATATAATTTAATAACTACGTATAACTATAACAACAAAGCGGCAACAAAACCGCGCCGGGTCTCAGTTCATATGTCATGTGCCAGTTTTTTGACTGCATTGCACCAGCAAGGGGGGGGAACAGGGGGAGTGGGCGACTGCAAGCCACGTTTTTCCACCCTTTTCGGCCAATCCCGGCCATGCGTTCTAATTTCATAATAAACTTGGCTGGCAGCTAAAATTGGCCGGGACCAAAACCGCAACGGGTGTAAATTTCAACTCACTGGTCCCCTCCCCTCCCTTGGCGACCAACTGCAGTGCACCGCCAATGGCGGCACATCCTGTGCAGCTCGTAAGCACCTCATGCGCCAGGCTATAAATGTAAATTGCCTAAATGGGTAAAAGCTCGAGCATACGTTGCCCAGGACATGGATACATTACGATGGCAGGGGCGCCGGGCAGGCAGTAGGCAGTGGCAGGACTGGCAGGACCTCATTGATGGTTGTAGGGGGGGAGGGGGACTGGAGTGGTGGTGTGGTCAGTCCTGCATCGTAAATGAAATCAGTTGGTGCGCGAATCCTGCATGGGTCAATTATGCAAATGTCCTGCACTCCGCTGCTCGATGTCTGTGAGGACTGCCGCTGTGTTAGTGTGTGTGTATGTGCGAGGGGTGTATATCCTGGGCCAGGACACTCGAGCATACGAAAGTGATTTGTGGCCCGGCAGTGTAAATCTGTTTTCATATTAAGTATTTTAGCGGCAAATTAAGTTGAACATGTAGATGTGGAACTTTTGGGTTCTTCCGTATATGAAAAATAGAGTGAAGAACTCTGAATACTTGTCGGGTTTGTGGAAATTTAATTTCCAGAAACGCAACTTTCACTCGGCTTTCAATTTCGGCCAAAACAACCCTCGAAAAGTTGCACTTTAACAAGCCGACAAATGCCCGGGCACGTATGCATCTTGA